AAAGTGATCAACCAGCCAATTAAATTAATTTAATAAATTTTACCTATGAATAATCCATATTTATTGAAAATGACCCAAGAAAATGTATTGCCTAAAAGTTCATGAACAGGATAATAATATAACTACCCCAAATTACCGACAAAACACATTCATCAGTAGTTTTAGTATACGAACTTGTGTTTCTTCTTCTTCCTCATTCTGCCTCTTTCTCGGTCTCTGAATTCTTCAAAATCTTTCTCTCCTCCAAAGAGAACATGTGAACCCTCTCCTCTTCTCCTTCTAAAATTTAGGGGTGGGCGTTCGGGTACCCATTCGGGTTCGGTTCAGATCTATTCGGGTTTCGGGTTTTCGGGTTCACAGATATTAGCCCCATTCAGATATTTCTAAATTTCGGTTCGGGTTCGGTTCGGATCTTTGCGGGTTCGGTTCGGGTTCGGATAACCAATTTAAATTATTTTTAAAATTTTAAAATTGATTATATACTTTACATTTCTAAAAATCTATAAAGAAAATAACATATTACAAATAATTGAATAACATAAGTCAAAATGCCTAAAATTAACATATAAATTAGTTTGATTTGAATATTTGGATTGTGAATCAATAATTTTTAAAGTATTTTTGATGTTTTAAGTGTACTTTGGTAATTTTAGACATGTATGTTTGACTATTTACATATATTTACAAGTATTTTGAACAACTACAACGTATTTTATATATATTGAATGTTTTTTATATATACATTAAATCTAAAAACAACTAATATATATAGGTATATAAATCTCTTTCGGATATATTCGGGTACCTGAAATACTTCGGTTTGGGTCGGGTTTGGTTTCGGTTCTTTAAATACCAAAATTTTGAACTCATTCGGATATTGAATCAATTTCGGTTCGGATTCGATATTACTTTTTCGGATCGGGTTCGGTTCGGTTCTTCGGATCCGGGTTTTTTGCCCAGCCCTATTCTAAATCATGTAAGTCCACTCCTACGATTATTTATGATTTTTATATATGCTTGTTAGGTTGTTAGAACTGGTAGATGTTAGGGATCAAAATGTATTAGGTTGTTAAATTTATGTTAGGATTGTTAAATATGTGTGTTAGAATTGTGGGGAAATTTCAATTCTACCACAAGTTTGATACCACTTTTTAAATTTACTATGAATGAATGACTATATTCATTTGTGATGAAATAACACTAAGCTATATTTAGTATTTTCTCGTTTATGATTTGTATTTGTATTTTTGATATGATTTTATGTCATGTTTATTTAAATTTGTATTTATGCTTTTCATTCATGTTTGTTTAAATTTTTTAATTATAAATTTGTATTTCTATTTTTAATATGTTTTACGTCATATTTGTTTAAATTTTATGAAATCCAATAATTTATAAGTTTTGTAAATTTTAAATTTAATATTCAACTTCTAAAATAATTAAAAAGTAAAAAATTAACAATTAAACTGATCATTAGAACACATCATGACATACTC